AGGTTACGACGCGACACTGCAGAAGGTCAAACAATAGACACTGCCTTTCCTCGCATCGGCGATCACTAGGGCACGAATCGGATCGCCCAGGAACCACAAGATGGAAATAAGCACGAACACGCAGAACGCGCGATCTGAAATAAAAGCTGAGAGAATGCGCCCACCAGCTTCGCCATGTTTGTCTGTCCGTCCGCATATTTTATATTAGAACGTTTCACTGTAATTGGCCCATGCATTTCCACCACGGGTCCAAATCAGACATCAATAACGCGCACTCTACATCCAAACCTGCATAAGCGCTGAAGTGGCAGCGCCGGGAATCCCCGCCCGGGGAATCCCACGCCCAAACCACAGAGATAAAATGTCAGATTGCTCTGTGATTAATTAAACTCTGGGCGGTGTTTGCATTGTTCCTACGCAACATTTTAATTAGCCAGAAATTAAGAAAATTAGTTTCATACAAAATTTGTAAACGGCAGGCTAATTCAATTTGCAGAAACAAGAAACATACAACGAGTTTTACTGTTAGGATCTCTTGGCAAGCGACGACTTCGTAAAACATCGGCGAACAAACCGAAAACCAAAGAAGAGGACAGGATTAACGCAAGTTTATGCAAAGACGTAAACTGAAAAGAACCCACTCGGAACAGTGTCCACCGACGTATTTGCGAATGAAGGGCTTAAGTCAGTTGCTCAGTTAGTTATCACTCGTTGCTCATTCGACGTGGGTCTCAACTGCGCTACAACAGTTTGTCTGTCAACGCGTTCGTATATTTTCAGAAGTTCGCTTAACTGAAACCGTTGAGTTGAGATAAAATAAATCTGGAGTCTAGTTCACTTTTCCCGGAAGCCATAAACATTGCAACTCCGATAACAGAGTCGTGTATTCAGTGGATAACAAAAGGACGGGTTTTACATGTAACGACACGGGCTCTAACAAGAGACAACACAGTTCAGAAAGCTAAGCCGAGCTCTCCTCCAGCGCTCTGTGGCCACGTTCAATATCTCACAGGACCCGAGTGTCGCAAGTGCCACGAGGGACAATTCCACCTTCCGCTAATTATTTCGGAGAGAAACAAACATGAATTTAACAGAGAAGTAGCAATTAATCCACTTCGCCAATTCAAAAGTTTTACTTTATTTATAGGGAACGTAACGCTAGGATGCCTCTCCAATACAAATTCCAACCTCGCCTGCAAGTTTAAGTCCTGTTCTCACAGACGAGGCTCTGGCGATCGAGTCATGGCTCCATAAAATAACATTGCAGTAAGTGCTTAATAATAAGCCTGTCTGGAGAACTAAAACTATTATTCCTGCTACCATCGACAGGATAGCAACTTGTAGCGAGAAATTTTCCGCTACCTGGAAGCCTCAGAAATGGCCGGAACGGGTCCCAATTGACCTAAGTTTTTAATTATAGATAATGATGATGACAATGATTTCATTTGTTATAAGACTTTGTGATTACGGCCATGCGATTATGGAAATATGACAATTCGCCGATGTCCAGAGTCACATTCATTCAACACAGGTTACTCTACTCACAAGCCCTCACGTGATTAGTGGTGTAATGGAGCTCATACGGGAGGCGAGATAAACAAGAAACACGTTCTCTCTGCACCATTTGTGGGAATTTGGTGATACGTGCTGTAAGACCCTTACTAAAATAAAATTCTGTTCTAGTGATGAGTCGTTTTAAATGCAATTATCTACTACACGCAACAGAAGTCCACTCGAAGTTTGTAGGCTGCGGTGGCCTACACATTTTAGGTCACAGACTGTACACGTCCATCCGATGCGAGGTCTGCGTCTTGACGAAGCTACAGGAGTCACTTCGTCTCTTCCGCTTACAAGGAAGAGTGGCCTACCCTTCCGCAAGATGGAAAGGAGAGTGACTCTCGGAAAGGCACAAACAATGAAGACACTTCGCAGCTGTGCACGTTAATTCACTCATTCCTTCGAAAACTCAAGATAAGCGACATCGCCAGACGAACGAACAAATATCAACCATTCTACTTACACATTCCACAGCATAAGCATGAAGAATGAAAACAGTTCAAAATCAGCCGGATAAAAAATTGTGTCTTGATCGTAACTTACGCAGGTGCGCTGATACCAGTGCATACCCGTTCAGCCTCACGCTTGGGCAACTTCTGTGACATGAGGGTAATGCGGGACAGCATAACAGGCGCTGGCATCCGTTTACCACGGTACGCTGCACACACAGAGCACTCGCAGGCGGCCAGCCGTGCCAAGTGACACTTCTACTTCATAAGCGAACTGTAACCAATTTAATTGCCTTGAATCCAGTTAGTACATCACGTCCCTGAATTCATGCTTATTGCAAAACCCTTGACGTTCAAGTTCTTTACTAAAATCTATCTTCCAGTGGATTCGTCACGTAAGAAACCTCCTCAAAAATGAAAAGTGTTATGTAGACGAACTAGAGTCCCTGGTGAATCAAAATACAATTTATAATTTTACACTCGCCCAAGAAGGGAAGAACACACAAGAGGTCATTTGCAAACGTGTCCATGTGCACCAACGCCTTGTCGACTACTAGGCAGATACGAACGTTTCGGGTAAAAAAAACATGCCGTCTTTTGAAGATGGAGGCAGTATAGGTTTCTCGAAACGTTTGAATCCGCCAACAAGTCGACAAGGCGTTACAGCTCAAAAGACCGAGATCGACACCTTCATCGCTGTGAGAATCTCATATCTCACACGTAAACACAACACGTCATCGCTGAAATGAGAGTCGATGGTCATTTACTCGAACGCGGAAACGGTGAGCGGGTTCTGCGACGTGTCTCGTGGGTCACAGTGGCTCAGGGGTCACGACATGCTCCGTGTCCTTGGCGTGGATTTGTAGAAACACTCATGAAAGGAGACAAAATCTCAATAAGAGTCAGTGTTAGTTAGAAGATGACTCAACGCCACGACGTGCTTGTAGAGTGGGAGCTGTTATATTGGAAGATCACAGTACGACATGGAGAGTGGAGGGATGGTTTCAGTAAGCACGACTTTAATTTCATTCACCAAGAAATAATTGCATGTTCTCTGCTCCCCGTGTTGAATTTGCAACTGAGATGGGAATCTACAGGCCTGCAATGTTGGTAGACACTGAACAGTTTCGTGGGCGTCATGAAACTTGCCGCGGTCCGACCGCTGACTCCATCACATTTTAGGCCTTAATTTTAATTTCGAGAGGCAGAAAATTCTTCTTACAGTTTGCACTGCGCCCCCCTTTCGAAGGGGCATGACATCTAGAACAAAGATCCCACCGAAATAGACGAGACGTTCATATCAATGTTTACTAGTCCGTAGGAGAGACGAACTTTCAGTTGCTTAATTATCTCAGAAGCCGCAGACTGAGAAAGTCAATATGCTTGGAATTTTCCTTCGTTAGCCCCATTCTTGTAATTAAACAGAGCAAATATCCCTCGGCCCACACCAGACGGCCACATTTCTACGTGACGATAAAATTTCGTTTGTACCTGCGGAATACACAGAGAATATTCCGCGGTTGCACTATGGACGACAGTGAAGGCGGTCGATGACAATATTAAAGTTTGGAAAGGCTGACAATATCGAACGAGTTAACAGAACCAAAGAGGCAGGAGTGGAGTTTTTACCACGCTTAGAGTCTTGAGACTGAAAATGTGTAAATGAGATGTCGTACGGAAAGTAAGTGTTTGTATCCAAACGTCATCTGCCAGAACCCCCGAACTTATCCTAATCCACGCCAGCTCGGAAAGATGATAACTCACCAGTGTGGTGATAATTACAAAGGCTTTGGACTTCCGGTCTGGTGGCAGCTACCGAGTAGAACTAAACAGCGGGGGGATTTTAGAGGGAAATCCACGACACGCTGTGGCCAGGGTCATCACGGGCGCACCACCCTGCAAATGGTGACATCGGCCTGGCAGCATGATAATTTGAGCGGGTCGCTAAGATCTTGACACTCGTGGAAATGCTGTTCCGACGAGGTGGTGTATGTACGAAAGGTAGTACTCGAAATGACTTTGGGGCGGCGGGGGACACAAACGCGCATCCTCAGTGTAACGATCTCGCTACCCTATGGCACCATCTGTTACCGAGCGACGGGAGAGGGGGGGGGGAGCCCAGTGGAATATGAAGTTCAGCTTCGGCCAAAA